TAGGGAAGCTATGTTTCCATAAAAATTATAAACAAATACTGGAAATGACCAGGGCTGCAAAGTCGATTAAAAAAAAACACTCGACTCCGAGTCCGGCAAAATTAAATACCAAGTCATTTTATGGGGGGGCAGAGGCGCTCATAGGAGGTACCCTACTATGAACTCTGAAAGAGCCCGGGGCGCTTACCCAAATACTTTTATAGTTAGTATTTTTAATATTTAACTTACATTGATATTTATTCGTATAAAAAATTAAACTTAACAAAAAATCGATAAGAGGAGAAAGGAGACGATAAAATTCTACATTTACATATATTCGACAGCATTTGCACTTCAATTTCACCCTTTCAGTAAAGTTAGTCCAACTAAACAGTATATGATCTAGCTACTCCATCCCCTTGTTCAGAAAAGACAAATACAGTCGAGTCCGCATAAGTCGAAACCCCAAGAGGAAGTGGAAATGTGTCGAGTTATCCGATATGACGACTAAAACAAAGTCGGAAAAACCTCAAAACTAAAATTAGAGAAATACAGTAGTGCTTTATACAGCACAGGCAATGTATCTCTCTGACCATCCATTACTGGCACTAAAGTTGTTTTCTACTCAAGTACCGTACCTCAGCGATTTCCATCGCTTTTTGTTTCAGTGTCGGCCCCGAAACAGGAAGATTCGATGAACGAATTTGCTTTAGCCAACATACCAGAGCATCTTCGACATCTTCGTACGACGACCTTCTCTGGCGTTTTCGAGACAGCCGCGACGAAAACCCGAGAAGTTTCTTAATTTCCTCTTTTTTCTTCAGAATTCCCTCCAATATTGTTCTTGAAAGGTTTTGCAAATTCGGCTTGCGAAGTTTTATTACATTCAAATTCAGATACAAGTTCGTATTTTTCCTTCAGCGTAAGCGTTGTTAAGTTTCGGATACTCATTTCTAACAGAAATGTGAAACACTTGCTGCAAATAACGCATGAATAAGTGAGAAAATGCAAAATCGTATTCTGCTGTGACGTTAAATAGGTACAACTAGGGTTTCTCAAATGGGATCCCGGTTGTTTTTTTAACCTGGGAAATCCCGCAAATTTCTTAAAAATTCACTTTTTTCTTATTTTGTGTTAAGGTTGAGGAAATTTTGCAAATAGAAAGCATAATTAACTCATAAATTGTCAGAATGCATTTATTTTTATTAATTTTAAACCTACTTATTAGTTTTTTTTTTTTAATTTTTGCTCGTTATGGCACGTCACAAATGATCAATAATCAATACGTAGCTTATTTGTGGCAGGACTCTAAAAATTCTTTACCTGTAATATGTGGAATAATTGTGCTTATGCTGTCTTCATTTTTAACCATGCTCGTTAGCTTCAATAACTGCGTAACGTCACGTTATGCAAATTGGGCAAGGATACAAACGAGTACGAAGTCTGCAAGTATGAAGTTTATCTTCATAACCTGATTATTAATGAGAAATGAATTGCCGAATTATTAGGCTATGATGTTTCTATTAATTAAAGCAGTCGAGGTAGACAAATCAAGAATACTAGGGAGCAAAAGAAGTACTACAATCTCGAAAACGAAATAGAAGTCTTCCAGGCTACAGGTGAAAAAAATAATATCTATCTTCTCTTAAATGCATTAAACACGATTTCAATCACATCAATTGAATCGGAAAGGGCATTCTCGGTAGCAAGATTTTTCATTACCAAAATAAGAATTAGATTGAGTAATCGGAGTATTGACCATCTTTACTTTTTAAAATCTTATAAAAAATTTACAATAGTTAGTACTGTACTATATTTTATTTAAAACATGAAAATTACCTTCTAAGTTAGAAGTTTGATCTAAGTTCATTTTTTTTTAATTTTTAACTCAATTCAAAGCATTTGTTGTTGTTGTTGTATGCAGTTTCCAGCAAACATTAATAAATTTTTTTCTATTTGTGAAAATTTCTACGTAATTCAAAGGTAATTTTTAATCTATATCTTACACAGTATTATTAATATGATTTTGGAAGTTACAGAACGTATTAAATTACTTTAAAAAATGAAAAATAATTATATCATTTGATTTCAAGATACAGTATTTTGTATATCTTAAAAATAATTAAATCTATCCCGGGATTTCCCGGGATCCCGGGAAACCGTTCACTTTTATCCCGGGACAAGCAAAAGACCGGGAAATGAGAAACTCTAAGTACAACCACAGATTATAATAGATAGACTTTCAACTTCATACTTTCTTCTTTCTTTCCTATTAATATGGAGACTCTAGCCTACTGGCTTTTTCTCCGAATCACTCCGCCTTGAAATTAGGTAAAGCGGTTGGTACGGTGAACAAAACGCTCCAAGATTTCGATATGTTGGCGAGGAGGAAGATCGGTATGAGCCAGTATATCGGAGTTAAGGTACGGACGATCGTGAGGTCCAAGGTTAAAAGGCGGCTTAGCTCTTGGCGGGCCCGTGTGTATTGCGGGCAGACAAGCCAATAGTGTACGGAAGTTTCTGGCGAGCCACAGTGGGGGCAATCTGGCGAGGCGCATTGGCGTCGAGAATAGAGGAAGTTGTTCAGGGGGGCCGTATCTGTTCGAAGTCTAGCCAATAGGGTTTCTGTGTGGCGAGACGAGGCGTGATGGTATATCCAAGGGGCGAAAGGTCGGAGATGGTCGCGACCTTTTCCCCGAAGAATGGTAGACCAAGTGTCGGTGTAGTTGCGGATGATCGATTCCCGCATCTGACGTATGAGGTCACGTGCCATGAGAGGTCTCCACCAGGAGCCGATGGGAGTGTCATGGCTAGCGGCTTGGTCTGCCTCTTCATTTATGTGGATGCCAACGTGACCAGGGGTCCACCCGATTTCAAGGGGTGTTGGGTGAGAGCTGATG